ACAGGAGGAAAGCTCTGAGTCAGAGGGTGATGAATGTGACAGAGAAAGAGAAGCCAGGGCCTCCAGCCCCAACTTCCAGGTGAAGAACTACAGAAATTACAGCAGATAGAAGAACAGACTAAATGACATCATCAGGACACAACCAGGTAAATCTAGAATGTGAGACATCTATAATAAACTGGTCTGAATTCTTTAAAAAAGTCAAAGTTGTTAAAAACAAAACAAGACGGATACTCATGTAATTAAAAAGATTTAGCAACCACATTCCATGAGCAAGGATGCCAGGCCAGGGAAAAGAAGTTATAAAAGATATTTTAGGAACAAGGTAGGACAGCCGAATACAGATGGAATATTAGATGATATTAAGGAATTATTCTTAACTTTTAATTTATTAAGTTAAAACTTCAAAAATTTACTTAGGTATTGTAGGTATATAGGAGACGGTCTTTATTCTTACGAGATGTATGCACAAGTATTTAGAAATAAAGCAAATACTGCAAACTGTTATCAACTATTGAATTTAGGAAAAGGATATTCAGTTGTTCATTACTCTAATATTTCAAGTTTTCTGTATATATTAAAATATTTAAAATTTCACATTCTTTCTGCTATTATTAATCCTGCCATTTTCTCTTAAAAAACTTCTCCAAGTAACATAACTTTCTTTTGTTGTAACCTGACCACACCAAGACTATATGTACAGGGACTGAGCCTTATCCATTTTTTTCTTTCTCAACTAAGAGTGTCTCTGGCATATTGTAGGTATTCAACATATGTTTGTTGAATATCAAATACATATTCTTATTTGTTTGTGCCAAACAAATTACACTAAAAAGTCCCCCAAAAGTAAAATACCTTACTTTTTCAGTATCTTCCAACTCATTGATTTTGGTCGTTGATTCAAACATTACTGTTATTGAAGACCCAGTAGTTTAATTTAAAAAAAATCTTCATTTATATTTTTTCTTTTTATGTCTCTACAATAGGTACCTTAAAAGAAGTTTCCATATTACATATTTTGGAAAAGTCTATCCAATTTAATAACACTTCCCCAAATAAAAAGTCTTCAAACTTTTATTTTAAAATTGCCTCTATTAGTTATTTACACTTATAATTGCAAAAAGTATACACAAGGAATGATTTTAATTACTAATTTAAGATACAGAAATTGGGCATAGATTTAGGAATTCTCAGTGCAGTTTTCTTATAGGGTGATGATATTGAAATCAGTGTAACTTCTTGGCAAAATGGCTGCCTGAGAGATATTTTGTGTAGAAATATAGAATATTCTGAGACATCTTAAAGATTTACGAGAACAACAAGACAAAACATTTGAAATGTGAACTGTCCTAAAAATCCAGGATGTTTGGTTGGCCTTTCCACATGGTAACACAGACATGAGTCTTCCTTAGACCTCTGAGGGAACTAGAAATCTTTGTGCCAGCATAGAAGTTAATGTGCTTCCTTCAGAAATATAAGGAAGATTCCAAGAGGTTTTATATAAATATGTAATATTTTTTTAAAAGATTACCTTAGCTGATGATTCATATATGATTTTTTCTGAAAGAGGTAGATTTTCTAACCCTTGAAGAAGTTCTTTCGGAAATCCATCAATACAAGAAGAAGAATACAGCTGTAAGAATTTTTTAAGGAAACAATGCATTTCTTTCTGGCGCAAAATCAACTCAGAGTTGTAAAGGGATGTGAGAAGTGTATCATCTGGTAAAGAAATCCCAGATACCGGCATTGCAGATGCTTAAGGAAAAAAAATACCTTAGTTTAGGCTCATGTTCAATAACAGGATGATCTCAATATTGTTAGTATTTGCCCACTAACCACTATCCCTGTATATCCCCACCCCAGCGGGTGGCTGCCAACAATCTGCCATTTTCAGAGGTTATACACTAATAGAATTGCTTCTTCCACACAGGAAGAAAAGAAATTTCAGAGGCACATGAGGATATTGCTTCAGACTGTAAGTATTGACAAGGGTACCATATATTCTATCTACCTGTCTTATTTTGGGCACCCGCCCAAACAGATTCTAAGGCAAGAATTTAGATGCAAGAAGTTCATTTGAAAAGTGATCTCAAGAAGCACAAGAGAGGGGACAGGCACAGTGTGACCAGGAAAACAAAAAGAGCCAATAAAGCTGAGTAAATGAATGGGCTACAGCCATAAGCAATAAGGGCTCAGTCCCACTGGGAACCTTCTGAAAAACCATGTGCAATTGTTCGCTTTGAGAGAATGAGAAGCTGGACAGTTTACCTACCAGCTCCCCACCTCATCAGTTGAAGGTCACTCCTGCGTGTGGAATCCCTGGCACTTGCAGGCTGTCCTGCCTGCAGGCTGGGCAAGCCCTGCTGGCTTCAGGGAAAGCCCAGAGCAGAACAGTGGCAAAATGTGGGTGCTTGATGTGAGAAGTGCCAGCGGTGAATTCAGAGGTGAGCTGAGCTTCTGTGGGGCAGGGCATCACCAGTGCTGGCTGCACTGGCTCATGTCCATGTCCTTCCTCTCTGACCTTCCCTTGTCCTGGCTCCCTTCATGATGAACTTTTTAGCCTTGACACCTTTTAGAGTGCTTGCTTTTCCCACTGCTAACTCCTGACAACTGTACTTAGCCACTCCATGACTCAGCCTGTTTTCCCTGCTGGCTTCCCCATCACTGAGCCTCAGCATGGGTCAAACTGTGTCTTCTGACTGTTTGCACTGATGAGCAACACTGGGTCACCAACCTCATGGGAACAGACAAAACATAACAATACACATTGTCACAAAATAACAAAAGGGGCTGATGTGAAGCAGATTTTACCAGTTTTTCTGGATATTCTTTAGATAGCAACAATGATTTAAGGAAAAAAAAAAAAAAAAACTCCATGGAGTTAAATATCCCATTTGAAGTCATGCATTTCTTCCCTCTCTCTCCCTAAAGCCAGAATTTCATCTTGTTCATTTTATTCATTTTATAAGCTGTCACATTGTGATCACTCGTTCTTAGCTGTTTTGAGCCATGGACCACTTTGGCAGTCTTGGGAAGTCTCTGGGGTGCCTCCTTATCATGCTTTTAAATATGTGAAATGATATATTAAATACATGGAATTTCTAAAGAAACCAATTACACTGAAATACTATTCTATCCAAGGCTCCAGGTTAAGAACCCCTGAAATTTTCATCTTCTGATGACAGTTCACTCAGAAAGATGTCAAAAGTATCTTATAATTCTAAATAAGAAACATGGCTTAAACCAGAGCTGGAAAGAAGGATGTTCTCTCTTAACATGTCAAAAACCTACCTAGCAGTTTGCTCATATTATTAATCCTTTGAAGGTGAATATAGTAGCGCAGTAGAAGGATCCACGTAATATCCACTTTGGTCTGAGTCTTTTTTCTAGCATCTGTGTTGTCACACATGTCATCATTTTGGTACAGAAATGTACAGCAAGTCTGGAAGACAACTTGGTAGTCATCTGAAAGTCAAAAAGATGTTTTACAACACAATGTTAACGATTTCCTTGAAAAACAACCATGTACAGGAAAAACAAGCACAACTCAAAGGAAAGACTGACACATGAGACTATATTCAATTTTAAAAGTTTCTGTATCACAAAGACACCAAACACAAAGTTAAAAGACAAACTACAGACCGAGAAAAAATATTTAGAACATGTGTGGATTGTTTTTCTCTAATATGTATAAACATCTTGTACCACTCAATAAGAAGTAATCAAGCAATCCAATTTCAACAGGCAATTCATAGAAAAGTAAACTCAAATGACCAAAATTTTCAGCATCACTAAAAATCAGGAGTAAAATGAAATATCATTTTACATCCCTTAAGAATTGACAGACACCAAAATCTGAAAATAATAAATATTGTTAACTTGAAGAAACTGGAATTTTCATATACTACTTGCAAGAGCAACTTCTTAGAAAGTAATTTGGCAAGATCTAAGAAAACTAAAAATGCAGATACTCATATATGTGTACAAGAGTCTGGCACAAAGACATTCATGGCAGCGTTATCTATATTTTAAAAGGTAAACTTTTGTAAAGGCTCAGACTGTTTGGCAAAAAATAAAAAAGGTAAACTTTAAAAAATAAGGTATCATTTAGAGTGAATAAATTAGATCTAGTGTAGAGTCTCAGTCCAAATCCCAGTGGTACAGCTCACTAGTGTGTGACCTTGAATCTCTCTGTGCCTTGAGATTTCTCTGGGTTTTTGATTTTCTGAGTCTTAATTGTCTCTTCTTTAAAATAAGCATGATAAAGGTGGTTATAGAAAGATCTTGAAAACATATAATAAGCTAACAAGTAGGTTCCATATATATGGAGTATTACCCAATGATATAAATTTGGAAGCATTTATTCAATATAATTATTTGTATCATTTGTATCATTTATGTATATACACACGATATGTGTACATATATATATATATGTACACATAGTATTTTATTAGAATAGTGGTTGTCTCTGGGGAAGAGATGAATAAGATCTTCTATGGTTAATGATCTATGCATAAGATGACTCTCCATGTACTCACCACCTAGCTTAGAAAACAAAATATTCCTGGTACTTTTGGAGTACCTTGTGAACCTCTCTAATCCCATTTCGCTCTCTCTTCCAGAGCCCATCTCCCAGAAATAACAACTATCTGAAACTTTATGTTAATAATCCCATATCTGTCCTTTATCCTTTAAACATATATATCATATAATAAATAATGTATTATTAATTTTACTTTTTTTTAATTTTACAGGGATAGAATCAGATCACATGTATTTAGCTATTATTTTCTTACTAAATATCATGTTTTTAAAATTTATCCAGGTTGGTGCATGTAGCTGTAATTCATTGATTTTTCATTGCTGTATAGTACTCCATTTTATGAATATATACATATATATATATATGTATATACCACAATTTATCTATTCTATTGTTAATGGACATGAGGGTTCTTTCCATGTTCTTTCCTTATTTTGTTTTGGTCTTTGCTATTATGTACAAGGTTGCCATAAATATTTGAGTACATATTATCTGGTACATATGTGCACAAATTACCTGCAAGTAGAATTGCTAGGTTGTTCTTTTTCAGGTGCCTTGTGACCAATCTTGTCTTTTGTTCTTCCACATAAATTTTAGCATAAGTTTTTCAGATTCCACAAAATAACACCTGCTAAAATTGTTACTGACACTACATTAATTCTATAGGTAATTTTTAGAAGAATTAGCATCTTACCAATATTGAGCCTTTCTAACTAAACATGATATATTTTCTTATAGCTTTCAATAACATTTTATAGTTTTGTTTTATAACTTTTATCAGATTAATCCCTATATGCCTTACATATTTTTGTAGCTACTATGATAATATCTTTTAAAATAACATTATCTGTTAATATATACAGAAATAAAATCTTACATCTAACAATCTTGCTCAACATTTTTATTGTCTACAGTTTTTAGGAATTTTCTATGTGAATCTATAGCTAATAACAGCTTTTTTCTTCTTTCTACCCCTTAGTTCTTACTTCTTTTCCTTATATTATTGTGCAGGGTAGGACTTTCAGAACAGTTTTGAATCAAAGCATTTTCTTACTCCTGATTTTAAAGGGAATAGCTTTAACATTTGAATACAGAGTATAAATGCCATAGGGTTTTTTTCCCCACTTTTAATTTTTTCACATTAAGAAAATTTTCTTTGATTCCTAATTTTAGAATCATGAATGGTTGTTGAATTTTGTTGAATTTTTCTACACTTATTTGAGATGATTATTATTTTTCCCTTTTAATCTGTTAAAGTAGTGATTTCATTTAATAGATTTTCTAATGTTGAATTATATTTGCATTTCTGGAAATAATCCAATTTGACATGATGTATCTTTTGATATGCTGCTTATTTTGATCAAAGTCATACATTTACATAATCAAAAATAAAATTCCCTCTCCCCAGAGGCAAGCATTTTTAATATTTGTGCTTTAGCTCTTCTAGTGGTTAGTTCCAGCTCTTAAAATAATTTTCTTATAGCATTTTCCTAAATTATTAGTTCTAGAAAATGCATCTATTGACTTTCTTCTGTGACAGATGAGATTTTAGCTTACACAACCACTCTTCTTCACTTCAAAATTTTTATATCTATGTCACCATTTTTACTATTTTTATAAATCAACAATGTTCTAAAAGCTCTTTCTAGTTCCACCCAATACAGGCAACATCCCTTGATGTCTTCCCTCGTAATCTAATACCATCTACAGCCCTTCACTGTCTCCCTGTCATGTTTTCTAATTTCAAAATTGAAAACATTTACAGTCTGTTCTGTATTTATAATAAACCTTTCATTGTTTTGTCAAAAATCAATAAATACTTAAATTATTATGATTGTACTATATAAGAATTTTTCACTCTGATATGACCAAATTTCTTTCACTAAATGTCACAACATTGTGACCCACAAAGGATAAAGTTCTCAGCACAAAGATCAAACAGATTGGTGTGAGTAAAAACAGTCTCTAAATCATGTCATATTCTAATTCACTTCATATTTGGACCATGAATTCTTAAAGAATATTTTCCCCTAAAATTTCTCAATGTCTTTTTTTTCTCTTGTTCAAAGAAGCAATATTTGCATTCTTTACCATATCCCTAATACCATCTAGCTTTTTAGTCATTTTACTAATGAACAATAATAAAAAGAACCCATTCATGCTCTTAAAGACATTCTCGACATCACAAACTTGCCACTCCAATTTATACTGCTGTATTTCTAGGCTGCTGCATAGCTGACAACATCAAGGGCTACTTCTTCCCTCCCTCCCTCCCTCCTTCCTTTCTTTCTTCTATCTTATATTTACTTCTTTCCTCGTTTGCAATGTTGCATGGTGGTGTGCATTCTCAAATAACTTTCTTAAAAAAAAGAGTTGACCAAAAGTAAACCATTTGAGTCCTTATAAGGCCTTCGTACTTGACTGGTCATTTAGTAAAAGATATGATTTTAGTTGAGATTCATTTTCCCTTAAAGCTCCAAAGGCCTTGCTCTACTGCTTTCTAGCATTGATTATTGCCATTGAGAAGCCTGATGCTGGTCAAATGCTCACTCCTTTCTAATAGTTGACCTGCATTTCCCACCTCTGGAATTTTTTTTTTTTTTTTATGAATTCCCCATTATCTGTGGTGATTTAAAATTTCATTTTTGGTCTAGGTCTAGGTCTTTTTCATGCATGCTTTTTGGAACATGGTAGGCCTTTTCAACTTGAAGACTCATCTCTCTCTTTAGCCCTGCAAATTATTCTTATATTTTTTCTGTGGCAATTGCCTCCTGTTTACTTTCTCCTTTGTCTATATCTTGAATGTCTATTAGCTGAAAGTGAAACTTCTTTATTGAGTTAGTGTCTCTCTCTCTGTCTCTCTCTCTCTCTCTCTCTCCACCCCCACCTCTCTCTCTCACTTCACATAAATGGGCACTTGATTTATGACAGATAAAACACTGTGATGTTCTGAAGAAGGGTGGTCTTTTCAATAAATGGTTCTGTGTTAATTGTATATCCATATGAGAAAAAAATTAATCTTGACTTCAGCCTCACACCATACACAAGAATAAATTCCAGGTGAATTATAGATCTAAATGTGGAAGGTAAAACAAAGATAGGAACATAGGAGGGTATTTTTATGATTTTTAGGTAGGAAAAATTTCTAAAACTGAACACAAAAAGCACAAACCATAAAAAAGGTTTGTAAATGGACATTAAAATTATAAACTTTGGATAATCAAAAGATATCATTAACTGAATAAAAAGGCAAAATAGAGTAGGAAAAGATATTTGCAATACATATAATCTACGAAAGGGTAATATCCAGAATATATATGTCTTTGGCTTATATCTCTAAGCCAAGAAAGAAACTCCCAAGAAAAATCGGCAGAGTTCTTGAATAAGGAGTTCCCTCTAAAAATCTATGCAAAAGCAAACACGCTATACATAATAGTCTTCAACCTCTTTAGTCATCAAAATAAATTTTAAATTAAAATCACTTTGGAGAACTTCTTGGCAGTTTCCACTGAAGCTGAAAACATGGATGTCTTATGACCCAACCATTCCACTTCCTTGGCATATACGTAAAAATGCATATATCTGTGCAAAAAAATGTCATGTGCAAGTGTATTCATAGCAGCACTATTCATGATAACCCAAATGTTTGTGAACAGTAGAATGGACAATAAATTGTGATATTATACTCACCAGAAAGATGAATCACATAAATATAATGTTGAACAGAAGACACAAAAGAATATGGATTGTATTATTTCATTTACACAAAATTCAAAAGCTGGCCAAACTAACCTGCTAGAAATCAGAAGGAAGGGGGGTTGGTAGGGATTAGAAGGGATCATGGTACAGACTTCTGGGGTGCTGGTCTTATTCTGTTTCTTGACCCGGTGATGGTTATATGGGTGTTTCCTCTGTCATA